GTTCTTAGAATTGACAAGACGGTTGACCCTGAGTGGTCAGCTAAATATCTACAGTGGATCTAAAATATGAATAGTTAATTATAACTAGTTATGGTTAATTATTCATATTTCCCCATGAGCTGATCCGCTACAATGAACTCTCGTACCTCTGAATAATGATCCATCAGTCCTACAGACTTCAGTTTCTGCTGGATCTGTGATCATATACTGTATGTTACTTCAGTTCAAACATAATGAACATAGAAACAAAACATCTTACAGTTTTTCTCGATTGCTAACACACAATTCATGAAACTATTTACCATTTTCTCACAACTATAAACACAATCTCAAAACTACACACCAACTTGTGCAGACTTCAGACCTCAAAATCAAATAGTTTAGTCAAAAACATGTTCTCTTGTCAAACTCAAATTTTGGCCTCAGATGACACACAGACCTGTCAAATACACAGACTATTTTCCTGCATAGAGAACACTAGTGAGATCAACTCAAAACACTAGTCGATGTCTGTAACAGTATACGACATAACTAGAGGGATGCAGATACCGTCAAATTCAGCATTAAACTGTAAGAAAAGTTGACTTTCGTTACACGACTGTGAAGAGATCTAACAGTAGATGAAAAGCACTAGAAGAGAAAAGTTAAAAAACCAAACAACAGAATATACAGTAAACACACATTGGAATATACTGTCAGTTAAAACTCAAATTTTGGCCTCAGATGACACACAGACCTGTCAAATACACAGACTATTTTGCTGCATAGAGAACACTAGTGAGATCAACTCAAAACACTAGTCGATGTCTGTAACAGTATACGACATAAATAGAGGGATGCAGATACCGTCAAATTCAGCATTAAACTGTAAGAAAAGTTGACTTTCGTTACACTACTGTGAAGAGATCTTACAGTAGATGAAAAGCAATAGAAGAGAAAAGTAAAAAAACAAACAACAGAATATACAGTAAACACACATTGGAATATACTGTCAGTTACTGTAAATAAATAAATACATAAAGTCATTCATTCAGCATCCTCTGCCAATTTGCATTACAGTATTGGTAGTATCCTTCTTTGTTATAGCAGTGTCTTAGTCTTCTGACAAAAGACTTCTCTGCCTCCCCTAAACAGTCGTCTCTCAGTTCTGCACAAATACAGTACATGTAAGCACTACTTGGCTACAAATAACAGGGTTTCTGCAGGATTTTTAAGTTCAAATTTAAGACTTTAAGACTTTTTTTAAGACCTGCACAAATAAAATGTATACCATATGAGCGGGGTAGGGCAATGTCTATAGTATCATATTAAACTGTAAACTGTAATTTCTGTAAAAAGCATAACTTTGTTATAGCAGTGTCTTAGTCTTCTGACAAAAGACTTCTCTGCCTGCCCTAAACAGTCGTCTCTCAGTTCTGCACAAATACAGTACATGTAAGCACTACTTGGTTACAAATAACAGGGTTTCTGCAGGATTTTTAAGCTCAAATTTAAGACTTTTTAAGACCTGCACAAATAAAATGTATACCATATGAGCGGGGTAGGGCAATGTCTATAGTATCATATTAAACTGTAAACTGTAATTTCTGTAAAAAGCATAATTTACAGTTCAGATAAGTTTTCATAAAAACGTTTTATAAAATGATAAACTTTACATTTCAGCCTTTAAACCATTGTTAAGAAAATGGATGAGTCAAAAGTATTAATTATTATATTAATTTAAACAATTATTATCAATAAATTATTATTTCAATTAAATAACAAATTAGGGGTGTGCGATATTGACAAAAAATTATATCTCGATAATCATTTAGATGCATTTACACACTGTTTAATGCAGCTCTGAGGGGCATGGGATACTTTAACCTGCAGTTACAAATGCATAAATAATGTTTTTATATTTTAAACATAAAACATTGAAAACTGATGTTTGAAATTATAAAAAAAATAAAACGGTACCTTAAATGTGAAATTAAAACCACCAGTAGGCGGCAGCAAGTCATCGTTACAGTTTTTTTCAACTGCTTACACACATTTTCTAAACTTTACCTCTTTTTTTCAAAACTTAAACCACAAATCCAAGAATTGCACACACAAAATGCTAAATGCCTCACATCTCTTGCAAAATGACACACTGCATTCAAAAGATCACAAAAGCAAACATCTGTCTTACGTTGCAAACACTTTTGCCATAATAATATATTTTTGGATATGTCATATACACACAGTAATTCAACCTAAAGCTCTTCTTTCATGAGCTCCTATGGACATTTCTGTACAAGATCAAAAGTAATTGTCAGAGAGATTTTGAAAAATTCACTGTGAACACGAAAGCAAGATTGAAACCAAACGATTTTTTTTTTTACTGTAAGCATTTGTGGTTGTGAATACAGTATTAGAGCAAAGAAAAGAAATACAACAGTGTGTAGTTGGACAGAATCCAAACAGAATTTTGAAAAAAGATGATTTCAAAGGAATTGTGTGTGTGTGTGATGGTTGGGTGCATCTAGGCTCAATCCCTCCTCCGGGCTGAGTCCGGCCACAATACTTCATCCACATCACATGCGATGCAGTCTCTTGCCAGACACCGTGGAAAGAACCTCCTTGTATGGCGTATCCAACCTTGGATGGAGGCGCCATCAATGTATCCACATGCCTCCTCCATTGCCTGGAGAAGTGTCATGTTGACATAGGGATGACGATCATACACTTTCCAGCGCCATGTGGAGAACAATTCCTCTATAGGGTTTAGAAATGGTGAATATGGAGTCAGGTAGACAACAGAAAATGGGGATGAGTAACAAACCAGTTTTGGACCGGATGAGCGCGATGAAAGCTGACATTATCCCAGATGATGACCAATCTTGCCTGGTCTTCATTCTGCAGACCTTGAACAAGCAGATCATGAACCATGGTTGATCACATGATCAATGATAGTAGACCTAATCTCATCAGAGACCACTCTTCTTGTTCCTGGTCTTTGTCCTCCTCCTCTTCCCTGTCCGACTCGTCCATCTCATCCTCTTCCTCCCCTTGCAACTTCTCCTCTTGCTCCTCTTTGAACTCCTCCTCTAACTCGAACTCTGCCTCATCGTCGTCTGGCTCTCCCTCCAACTCCCCTTACTCTGTCTGCATTGTTTGCATCCATTGTTCAAAACCTATAACTTGACCTTTGGCCTATGTATAGGCCTATTCTAAAGCCATGATTGGTTGGTGTTAAGTAAAGCAATGAGTGTTTGCACATGTGAGGAGTTAGTGTGAGGCGCTGACGAATTAGAGTGGCATTTTGATTGGTTGTGTTTGAAAAAGGAAATCAAGATACTTCCTGTTAGATATTTGTGTGCTACATAGAGAATTGTGTGTTGTGTTTTGCAAAAAGTGTTTTATGAAATTGAAAACTGAGTCAAAGGCCAAAAATTAGCGTATGGTTTTGCAGATTTGGTGTGTGCTTCTGCTGTTTGAGTGTCAGGTTTCAGAAATTGTGTGACAAGTAAAGATTTGGTGTGTAAGCAGTTGAACAAAAGCTGTAATAAGTGAGTCACTGCGATTGAACCGAATCATTTAAACAGTTGGTTCATTCACAAACAAAACACCATCTTGTTGCTCAGAGACACAAAACAGCACTGTGGCTGTGTTTGGAATGATTTTTGTTATAGAAATAGAGTAAAAGCAGGAAATATGGTGTCTAAAACGTAAGTATCTTAATATTAACTATTTGTTTATTGAACTGTTGTATAAAATCAATATCACATTTGTAATCATGCTTACTTTTGGAGAAAAAAAAAACGGCACTCTTTGTGTGATTAACTATATGAAATTATATAAATATATAAACTTCCTGGCCCATATCTTAAATTATGTGATAAGTCTAAATGCATTTTAATAGACTGATTAATGCAGTGAAAGAACGCACTATAAATGCGCACTAGTCTAACCTGCTAGACTTCATCACCTAATGTATGCGCGCACTCTGTAGGTGTTTTCTGTTTGCTTTTCACGATATTCTCATGATATCAAATCACACATTGTTAAAACAACAATTACGATATTATCGCAGACCATATATATCGCACACCCCCTATGTTTAGATTTTTAAAATGCATTATCTTCTTATCGATCCACCAATTCACATTTAAAGCTCTGCGTGCTTGCAGGGTAAAAGCAGGGGTCGTTTTTTTCATTGGTCTGAACTCTGAACAAAACAGCAGTTGTATTGAAAATAATAATAATAATAATTAATTACATTTATATAGCGCTTTTCTGCTTTTCTAAGCACTCAAAGCGCTCTACATTGTGAGGGGGTATCTCCTCGTCCACCACCAGTGTGCAGCATCCATTCACAGCATCCATGCTCATTCATTCTCTGCCAGCAGATGAAGCGTTTGATAGAAATATAACTGTTTCCCCGGTTCTTGACAGCTATAGAAGGGTGGGCTGGCAGATATCCTGGGTGGGGCTAGATATTTATACTGTAGATATTGCTATATTAACTATATTAACTATAGGCTGTTATATGTACACTGGGGGAAAAAAAGCTTTCATGGGCAGCCTAGAATATCATGCACTTTCACAACAAAATAAACTTGTTTTCTTTATTGAATAATAACAATAAAAAAAAAAACTCTTTGTTCTCTTTCTCTGTATCATTGTTTCTACACTGGTGATTTTTTCAACTAACTTTTGTATTTATACCAAACAAGGCCATACTCATATCTAGAACATTAGGGGGACTATTGTATTGAAAATATTAAGACCAGACCACTATGGTAAAGGAACTAAATAAATAATAAGATTTTTTTGTAAAGTGATCAATCTGAACTGCAAACAATATTTTTATTTTAAAATATGCACCCATTCAATTTTAGTTGTA